AAGAAGTTCAGTCACAAATTTAATTAATGCATTATTTTTTTAATGAGCATCATCAGCATGGAAGCATGTCCTCTGGAATGGTGGCCGAAGCATGAAGGGGAATACAAATGTTTAGCATATCTGACACGTAAATACCTTTCAATGCCAGCTACAGAAGCGCCATGCAAATGCCTGTTCTTACTTTCTGGTGACATTGTAAATAAGAAGCAGGCAACAGTATCTCCCGTAAATGTAAACAAACTTTTTTGTCTTAGCGATTGGCTGAACAAGAAGTAGAACTGAGTGGACTTGTAGGCTCTAAAGTTTTACTTTGTTTTGTTTTTGAGTGCAGTTATGTAACAAAAAAAAATCGACATTTGTAAGTTACACTTTCACAATAGAAATTGCACTACAGTATACTTGTATGAGGTGAAAAATACTTTCTTTTGTTTATCATTTTTACAGTGCAAATATTTGTAATAAAAAGTAATATAAAGTGTGCACTATACACTTTGTATTCTGTGTTGTAATTGAAATCAATATTGAAAATGTAGAAAAACATCCAAAAATATTTAATAAATTTCAATTAGTATTCTATTGTTTAACAGCGCGGTTAATCGCGATAAATTTTTTTAATCGCAGTTAATTTTTTTTTACTTAATCACGTGAGTTAACTGTGGTTAATTGACAGCCCTGATAAATACAAAATAATCAGAGAAAATACAAATACACTGCTACCTCGATATAACACGATCCAATATGACACGAATTCGAATATAATGCGGTAAAGCAGTGATCCAGGGGGGTGGGGCTGCGTATTCCGGTGGATCAAAGCAAATTCAATATAACGCGGTTTCACCTATAACGCGGTAAGATTTTTTTGGCTCCCGAGGACAGCGTTATATCGAGGTAGAGGTGTATTGTCACTTTCTGGAGTAATTAGAATATTTTTTTCCCATAATGGTTTCATTTAAAATTCAGGAAAAAATGATTTCTCGCATGCACAAAGCAATAGCACAGTTTTTGACTACTTCTGCCTGAGTCTACCTAGTTCTCTCCTTAGCGCTAAGTGTCTGCTCCACAATCTTTTCAACGATTCTGAAGTTATTTTGCCAAATAAAAAAAACTCTCTGAAATCACTAAAGAAAAACCTTACAGTAATTCTTTTTTTAATTCTGGAGAAGACTGCAGTGACCTCTTTCTTACTTCTTCAGCACCATTCTTCCGCTTGTCCATTCTGTGACACTAACTGTAATCATGAGGAAGCTGACTCACCTGAACACAATGGGTGAAATCCTGGCCCTGCTGAAGTGGCAAAACTGCCACTGACTTCAATCAAGCCAGAAATTCACCTAATATATATTAGCATAATACATGCCATTACACCATAGTGAAATATATGCTTAAAATCCTGTTTACTAAAGAAACCTTCCAACAGTGAAACTAATGAACAAGACTTACAAGAATTAGCCTCTTTAAACTAGTAATTGTATCTCCCAAATATTCACTTCTTTCAAGTGATGATAATATTGCAGAAACAGATGACCTCCACACACATTTTATCTAAACTGTCATAGACTCTTCTTTCCTACAGCACAGATAATTTTTTAGAATAATTTTTGCTTACGTTTTGGATACTTTGTTGAGCTTGTTAACATGAAAAAGAAATTTTCCCAACAAAAGATGTTCTTTAGTCTACAAAAGTTTTGTTGCAGATTTAACACTAAGTCCCAATTGTTACTTTAAAAGTGGTACATCCACACACTGGAGAAAACTGCTGCTAGTGTAAAAGGAAATGGGAAGTACACTGAATGGTTTCAAATACTTTTCTTATAATGTCAGCCATTTGGTTTCTCTGAGAATATAATTACACATCCATTTATAGCATTGTTTATCTGCATTTTACTCACTTGACCAGGCCCTTTTAATTCACAGCAATTTAAGCACGAGAGAGCCATTGAATCCATATTTGGTATAATTGCTAGGCATATGTTTATGCAGACAAAATTAGACAGTCTTGAGAGTATATAATTTCTTAATTTATTTTTCACTATCTACAAACTGTTCAGCTAAGTAAAAATACTGAATTTTAAAGTGGTAAAGCAGTAAAACTGTCTATCCGTTGTGTTTACAAGAAAAACAAAATATTTTAAAATCCTATCACTTCATAAATATAGCTGAATATAACAGTGACATTTTTGCTTTACTTTTTTGTCTAAAAACTAAAAATGTGATTTCAATGGTTTTGTTTATTTTTTTACGTTAAAAAAACACTAGTAGTTTAAAATGTTATTTTTTGATACACATGCCTTCTTTTCTCTCCATCAAACTGTGTGAACTTTCCAACAAGGAGCATTAGTTTCACTGGGGGAGGGGAGGGTGTAGGTGAGTGGGTGGGGATTGTTAATACAATGCTTTTGTCATTTTAAAAAGTGCCATATTGAAGGCACAGGTTACCAGAATCTTCTGTTTAATTACAAAGGAGATTATAAACAAACCAAGGAAGCAGCAATGCAAACTTTCTTCACTGCCCTCAGCCCTGAGCACAATGGCACCAGCATATTTAAGTCTCCATGCCCATTTAATACTTGGCCTCACTGCTTAAAGTTCCAAGAAGGGTGTAAATTAGCACCAAACATCACAGTGATTTTTGTGATTTGGACACTTGTCCACTAGGATCAAGACTGAGACCACAAATTCATTTCCAATTGTCTACTGGACAGCTGTCAAATGGTAACACTAATCAATACCTACCTGGGCCATATTCAAACCTATGACTGTGAAGTGAAAGGCTGTGCCATCCCTCCTACAAATCCTTTGAGACATCTTTCAATTTTCACTTGGTGAAAATTACTACATTTGGGGGCTCGTTTTTACATTTTTCTAATTTGAAATATATTACAGTATATTCATCCATATATTTTTCCTGCTATGTCATCACCAAAAGCACCATATCAAAAACATAAAGAATGTAGACAAACCAATGAACTCTTCTAGAAGCCAAATTATAGACAAGTCTTACACTGGCTTTCAGATCTCAACAAACAAGTTCACAACTGACTGTTTGCAACCAAGTTATAATTGGGGAAGGTACATAGAGGTCCTAAAATGCAAAAGCTGACAAACGCCAAAAACATTCTGGCACTGACATGAACCTATACTCACCCATCATTGGAACAAGTCAAAAATTCTTCTTTTATTTTGGGATGCCAACAGCCTGTATTAAGCATTGCTGTATGACCCTGGAAAAACACAGAAAAACATGAGAACCTAATTCTATGGCAAACAATTTTTTCAAATAGGCATTTACTTTCCCCTCATTTTTCAGGCTCTCTACCTAAAATAACCTGCACTATTAACTATATTCCTTACTGCCAATTATTTCATACGTAAACTGGACAGTCTTTTAATAACAGTCCTTCAAACCAATAATGTAATACACAATCATCAAGTTGGATGCTTTTTTAAAAATACAAAATATCAATATACAAGGAGAAATCTATGACCAACAGAGTTAAAGAACAATAAATATATTTAAATTTATTAAGAACAAAAAAAAATCCTAACAATGGTATTGATCCATTCCTAGATGGAAATGTCAAACATAATGCAGAAAAGGCAGAAGTGTTCAATAAATATTCTGTTCTGTATTTAGAGAAAAACGGTTCATGTAGACATATGACATATGATGATGATACTGTTTCCATTCCAATAATAAATTGGGGGAGTTAGAGATTTTTAAATCAGCAGGGTCCAGATAACTTGTATGCAAAGATTTTTAAAAAGAGCAGTCTGAGAACCTTGCGGGACCATAAATATTGATTTTCAATGAGTCTTGGAACACTGGGCAAGTTCTAGAAGACAGAGAAAACTAATGTGTTAATATTTTAAAAGGGTAAATGGCACGACCTGGGTATTACAGGCCTCAGTCTGACATTCATTCCAGGCAAGATACTGGAACTGCACATCAATAAAGAATTAAATGAGGGTAATATAATTAACGTCAATCAACATGGGTTTATGGGGGAAAATGGTCTGATCAAACTAACTTGATTCTTTTGGACTGCGATTACAAGTTTGACTGATAAAAATAATAGTGTTGATGTAATAGACATATTTCTGTAAGGCATTTGACTAGCTCTGCACAACATTTTGATTATACACTAGAACAATATAAAATTAACATGGCACACATTAAATGGATTAAAAACTGGATAGCAGGTCTCAAAATGTAATTATAAAACAAAGAATCATCATGGAGTGCATGGGTGTCATAGTGGTGTCACAGGGTAGCTGAATCTGTGCCTAGGCTGAGTTCAGGTCCCCTGTACTGGAGCAGGTGAACCCAATTGAGCTAATTAAAGAGGGCTGGGCTATATCTGGGCCTATATAAAGAGGTGGAAGAAGAAAGGACTGAGACAGGCTGAGCCCTAGGGATGAAACACCACAGTAGCTCGCTCCTGTGGTGGGTCCCTGGAGTGAGGGGCCAAGTGCTCAGGGAAGCCAGCCCCGTGGCTGCTGCTCCAGGAAGGGAGCAGAGCTGACTGAGGCTGGGGGGGTGGCCGGGACTGGGAGGCCCAGGGATACTCGCAAGGGGTGCCCGCAATGC